GCCTTTATTGAGTCCGACCGTCCGTATCAGTCAGATATAATGTTGTTTCTCGGGCTGATGTGCAGTACCTGATATAGTTGCTGATCTACTGCTATATCAGTACGAACCAAATCAGTATGTCATTTTTTTGCACATAAAATATGCAACAACTAAGATAAATTTAAGTCCAGGAGTAAATCACGACTACGCTGTCTATGGCATTATTGAAAATATCTACTAAAGTAAATGTCATATCTAGATACAAATGAAATGAATGAGAGCTTGAACAGTTTATATTTTTACAACTGAAAATCTTTCATACCATAAAAAATGCAACAGTGGACATTCAACTGAGAATGCAAAGAGCAGCTTAGAAATATTATAACAATGTAAGAGTGATTTCATTTTTCAATCATGCAAATTACCAGATACATTATATATAATTCAATTTTCATGCACTGTCCTATTAATTGTCTATACACACATTTCATTCACGTAATACTTATCATCTATCCGAAACCCTTAGGATTATCTTGATGCAACTACCGAAGCAGAACACGCAATTCATTCAATGCAGTCTCCATAAATAATCATCCATGTGTATCAGCCATTAGCAGAAACCGGCGATCTCGTGGATTATAGATTCATCACTTAAATGTGCAACTCTCTTGCATGTAGAGAGTGTTTATTTCCAGTGACAGGTTGCGATATTAAACAAAATATTGATTTGAGAATTTTATAATTCACTGGAACGAGACATATTGAACGCATCTAAGCCAGTAAGCAATCATTGTAACTATTTGATATAAAATATCCGGATAAGGCAATCATTTCTAGACACAGATAAAAACTTTAGACTGAATGGAGACAGTGAAAAATAATATTTTAATCGTTAAAATCTGGCAAATCAGCGACTCGGATATTTGCCAGAAACATTTGGTCTCGATCTTCATCAGCAAGCGCAAATTTCAAGTACTAATGGTGCCAACTGGGCTACACACATACACACACACACACTCACAAACACACAATATATATATATATATATATATATATATATATATATATATATATATTGAAATACACATACATATACTTTTATAAATATATATTTAGTATCAATATTTTAGTCTTTCCTCCCGGAATATGTTGTCTTGTATATCTTCTGGTACAGATCTTCTAGTGACTGGCATTCAGATCACAGTGGTATGTTCGTTTTGCTATTCTAAAGCTTTTTCTTCAGCTAAGATTTGGGAGCATTTGATATTTTACAAGTAATGATAGTTTAACTTTTCAGAATGAGTATATTGCCGGTCAACATCTGGAGCAGAAAGAAGTTTTTTTTGTTTTTTTTTTATGTTGGCATTGCGATGAAGTCTAAACGCAAAAGTGGAACATGACATAAATATAACGCAAAAAAAAAAAAAGAAAAAACTACACAACGAGAATCAATTTAGAGCTAAAAAAAAAAAAAAAAATAAGAGAATAGGTATTCCTCTTCTTCTTTCGTTCGCCTGAAATAAGATGTCTATATCAGCAATTTTGTCTCTTGTATAAATTTCACTGTTGTTGTTAATTCATTCAGTGGTCTATAGAGTTTACGTTCCACTGTTGTTCTTTCTGGGCCAAAAGGTTTGCCCTAATGTGTCAAATTCGGTGCAGTCCTGGAGTACATGCTCTGCTGTTTGGGGCACCTTTCCACAGGTGCACATGGCTGATACGCCTATCTTTAATTTTGTGTACATGTGGTTGTGTAATCGGTTGCGCCCTGTTCTGAGGTGGAGGATAATGACTTGTTCTGATCTGTCCAAAATAAAATAGTCGTCTTGTGCTGGGGCTGATGGTTTCTTTATTGATTTAATGATTCTTTTCCTTTGGTGGTATGTGACTGGTACATCCGGCTGCACTTTTGTCGTAGCTTCTCCTGCCAGTTGATCAGCTTTCCCATTTCCAGGCACTCCACAATGTGATGGTATCCACTGCATTACAACTCTTTGCTGAAGGCTAAGTTGTGTCAGCAGTGTTTGCAATTCTGGTAGTTTCCTAGACTGGAGTGCTTTAAGTACTGATTTTGCATTCGTCAGTATTACTACATACTGGGAGCCAAGATTGGTATTTAGCAGTTTCTCTGTTGCTATCTTGATAGCCTGAGTTTCTGCATCATAGTTATGGCAGTACTTTACGGTTGGTACGCTGGACTTATCCCTAGTACCATCTGGGAATTCTATGTACACTCCAGCAGCACCATTTCTAACTGCACTTTCTGCGGACCAATCTGTATAGAATCTGACCCATTGTTCTTGTGGGTATTCTTCATCAATATAACCGAGGGTGGCCATTCTGCGTTGTACACTATTTTGTTTTTTCTTGTCAAATATTCCTTTCACATTTGTCTGGATTTGTATTGTTAGTTTGCATTTCTCTCTCCATGGGGTTTGTTCTGGAATACTGTTAAGTGGACAACCAATGTCTAAAAGGTCAGCAGTTTGTCTACATATATTTTTTTGCTTGATGTATAAAGCTGCTTTTTTTTAACCGTCCCAAGGCTAGGTTCTGAAATCTATTTTTCATGGGGTGATCTGGCATACAGTGGAACTTTTTAGCTTGTACTTGCAACTTTGTATCTCTGCCTTCTATCAGTGCCTGTGTTTTCCCAGCTTTCTCCATTTCTAATATGAGGGTTGATTTCATCCCTCCTGTGATGACTCTGAGTGCTTGATTTTGCACTTTGTCCAACTCCTTTAATGTGGTACTAGATGCTGAACACCATGCAGTTGACCTATATTCCAAGTGTTGAAGTATGCTCTGCTTGTATACTTCATTGAGTATTTTCCCACTTGCTCCCCATGTGGTTCCACTTAGTTTTCTTAGTAAGGCTGTCTTCCTACTGGCTTTGGTTGCTGACTTGTTGATATGTTTTCTCCATGTCAACCTGTCATCAAATGTGACGCCGAGGTACGTGGGCTCTTTATCATCTCTTAGGGGTATTCCGTTTATTTTGATGATGCCCGCTTTTTGTTTGGGGAAAGAGTGAAGAGTGTGGTGCTACATTTGTCTGTATTGATGCTGACACACCATCTATTCGCCCATGCCTCAAGTGCATATGTAGCCCGCTGTAGTGTTCTTGTGGCTATCGTTGCATGTTCATCGGTGCACCACAATACCAGGTCGTTGGGATACATTGCCATTTTAATACCATTTGGTATTTCAGCAACCAGGTCGTTGAGGAAAAAGAGGAAAAGTGTGGGCGACAGGACACCACCTTGAGGGACGCCATGTCGAAGTAGAAAACATCTACCTGTACCCGGGCTCTTCTGTTACGTAGATATGCTTTAATCCAATTGTACATTCTTCCATTTACTTTATAGTTTCTCAATTTCTTCAAAAGCTCCTCCTTCCAAACCTTGTCAAAAGCTTTCCTTAAATGTATCCATGCCGCGAGTACTAGTTTCCTGTCTTGAAAAGCATCCTCTATTTCTTGGGAGAGGTATGTTGTCTGGTCTTCCGTAGAGTAGAACTTTCTAAAGCCAGCCTGCTGTGGTGTAATGATGCTTTCACTTTCAATGTACCATTGTAGTCTGAGGTTGGTGATGCGCTCCATTGTTTTACAGAGACAGCTTGTGAGGCTGATCGGTCTGTAGTTGGAGGCATTAGAACTGTCTTTCCCAGGCTTTCTGAGGAGTATCATATTTGCCTCTCTCCAGATCTGTGGAACATTCCTTGTTGCCCAGCAGGCATTAAATATCTGTAAAAGCTTTGCTTTGGCCATTGTTCCTAAGTTTTTGATCATTTCGTTAGATATACCATCTGCTCCTGGTGACTTCCCCATTTTCAGCTTTGAAATGGCTAACTCCAGTTCATTAAGTGTAAGTGGCACCTCTAGCGCCTCTGATGTTATTTCTCTCAGACTTCTAAATAGTGTCTTTTCTTGAATTTTTCGTTTTTTCTCTGAACTGATTTCAATGTCATTTTTTTTATGTAAAAGGGTCTGCAAAGAGGTTGGCTGCCTCTTTTCCTGTAACCATGTTTCTATCTTTCAGCAGCGTGTTCAAACACCGTACCAGTATACTGCTTGGAAATCTCAGCGTAGACCAGGGTATAAACAAAGTAGTTAAAGAATTTAACAAACGCTTACTACAGGCAGTAGGAGAATCAATACCAAGAGGTGCCCGTAAGCATTATAAGCCATACTGGAATAGTGAACTAGAAAATTTACATAACGAAGTGGAAACATCTAGAAAGAAAGCAGAGACCAGGCCAAACCAAGAACATCACAATAAATATCAGCATGCAAAAGCAAAATTTGTTAGGGCAAAGCTGCAGGTTAGAAGGGAAAGCTGGCAGGAGAAAACAAAAGAATAGGTTATGTTCGTCATTATCGTGATTTATTTGTTTAAATTATTATTTATATTTTTTAGGGGAAGGGGGAGTGGCAATGATTGAGTTCAGTTGAGTCAAGAATTGACATCACAGCACTCGGAACATTCCCATGCATGCTCTGTCCTCATCTTCAGCAGCCAGCGCAGAGTTCCAATACTTACCGGTCACAATCTGGTTAAAAGTCCGAGTTGCCTTTCCTTTGAGTGTAGTGAGCCGGCCAGACCCTCTAGTTACACCCAGTTGCCTCATTCTATACTGATTCCGTTGCTAGTTTCTGAAGGGGGAGTGGCAATAATTAGGAAGAATTAAACTGGACTACGCTGTGACATCATGACAGATGGGCGTGAGAAGAGAAACTGGTCGACCAATGGTTCGGATATTGGACAGTTCAACATTACTACCACATATGGTTAGCGGTAGACCAGATAGAAGGATGTGGTCATAAATGATGAACAGGTCCAAACGGTAGAGGCTAATAGGAGAACGCACACTGAGTTCTTAAAAAGTGGCATGCTAATAATATACATATATATATGTTAATTAAAAGTAAAGTAATGGGCCTGTTTAAGCAACTGGCGTTTAGGGCAAATACTAAGACAGTCTGGTAGGGCAACATTTATGAACATTCAAGCAGAACTTACCTGGGCTGCTTGCATTCTGCAGTTTGTGAATAGTCCCTTGACTCTGAGAGGATGCATGACGGCAGTGTATCGCTCCACGGCTATAACAGTTAGCAGCAGCACAGAGACGCACAGACTGAAACTTTCCGCGAAGTAGTACACTTTACATATTGTCTGTCGGAAAGATGAAATACGTTTATGTGATTTTATCATAATAATTTGCTAGTGAATATTCATTTGTTTATCAAGCTTGTGTGTGTGTGTGTGTGTGTGTGTGTGTGTGTGTGTGTGTGTGTGTGTGTGTGTGCAGACAATGGAAACAAGGAAAAAATATGGGGTGTTGGGGCGGGGGGGGGGGGGGGGGGGGGGGGGGAGGGGAGAGATTATAGTATAACAAAGATGTCAAAATAGTAGTAATATTAGAAGGTGTAGTAATAACTAGTAGTAATCGGAGCAGCAGCAGCAGTACTTGTAATAGTTAGCGCCAGTTGTTGTGATTGTAGGATTACTGCTACTAATCATAGCCCCCCCCCCCCCACCCCCCCCCCCCCCCCCCCCCCCCCCCCCCCCCCCCCCCCCCCCCCCCCCTTCCCCTCTCCCCTTCCCTTCAACACCCCCCCCCCCCCCCCCCCCCCCCCCCCCCCCCAACCCCCCCCCCCCCCTCCCCCCCCCCCCACAACCCCCCCCCCCCCCCCCCCCCACTTTCCACACACATTTCCAACACCTGTTTGTCAGAAGCAGTATGCACTTGATGCCTGCACGTATGATGCCCGTCCTGTCAGTAACATTTAGAAACCATGCCTTTTTTTGGTCTGCCCTTTCTCTCCCCCCCCCCCCCCCCCGCCCTTTCCCCCCACCCCGCAACCTCTTTTTTTCCTTAATAACCGGGTTGTTTTTTTCGAGAGGCCAAAAGATTGTATTACATAAAATATACGTTATTTATGGTAATAAAAGTGCAAGTAGTAGGTTAGTGTTGTGGTAGTGGTGACTTTGGTGGTGGTAGTGATGGCGGTGGTGATATGTCGAGATAGTTAAAGCAGTTGTGCAGCAGTTGTGGCTGTAATAAAAGTAGCAGAGTAAAGGCTGTGCTGTAGTAGCACTTGTAGCGTGAATTTATCAGGTGTCGTCTTCGCAGTGAAGCTCGGCAGCAATGCATCTCCAAAACACTTTGCCACATGTCTTGACAGTAAACTCTCTCTCTCTCTCTCTGTCTCTCTGTCTCTCTCTGTCTCTCTCTGTCTCTCTCTCTTTCTCTCTCTCTTTCTCTCTGTGTCTCTCTTTCTCTCTTTGTCTCTCTCTCTCTCTCTCTATGTCTGTCTCTCTCTCTATGTCTCTCTCTCTATCTATCTATCTCTATCTCTCTCTCTCTTTTTCTCTCTGTCTCTCTCTCTTTCTCTCTCTCTCTCTCTCTCTGTGTGTCTCTCTTTCTCTCTTTGTCTCTCTCTCTGTCTGTCTCTCTTTATGTCTCTCTCTCTATCTATCTATCTCTATCTCTCTCTCTCTTTCTCTCTTTAAAACTGCGATTCGTCCATTTATTGATGTTGGCTTTCTATTTGTATCGTTTTTAACTCTTGATATCTTGCCTTCAAAGTGTCTCTCCATGATGGTATTTCAGAAGACATTTAGGTCATCTAATGTGACCGAAATATTTCAATTATCTCTTTTAAATTTCTTCCCTTAACATAATATAGGTGAGATATTTACTTATAGTAAGTAAGTAAAGTAAGCAAAGATCCCTTTCCACGCCTTTAGGCGTATCCGGCATATGTGAAGAGCTCCCATATTTTTACAGCTCATCAGCACTCGGTGGGTAATGTGGTTAGCATTACGCCGGCTGTCTTTACTTTCCCAGGACAGCCCATCCTGGTACCCATTTTAGGCTGGGTCGACCTGCGACGCTCATACCATGATAAAAATCCACGTAGCCAGCAGTGGGTTTCGATCGCAATATTTACTTACAGAGAAGCCAAATTCCATTGGCCTAACTACCGCTTTGGTCGCGGATGAATCTACTACCGCCTCTAGCTAGAGGGATACTTCGATTTGGGACTTGACTGAGCTTTCAGACTGAGCAGACGGCTTGCTGCCTTTTCTGTATATCTGGTTATCTCCGTTTGAATCACTATTTCACATGGAAACGTCCATGAGAATGGGTAAGTACATTGTAGATTATTAGTATGGAAATATTTAGCCATGCTGCCGACTGTATGACAAATGTGGATATGTGAAGCGACGGGACTTGGCTGTCAAACCATTCAAAGTCCAAGTGAGCGCGTAACTAGAGCGTTCTCCTACAGATTGAGGAAGATTCTCTCCTCTTACTCCGTCAACAGATTCCAGACAGCTAGGACATTACATGTCTATTTTATAATATGATTTGTTCATATTGTAAATATATATATATATATATAATATATATATAAATATATATATATATATATATATATATATATATATATAGGCACTGGCGAGAGAACGAACAGGTCAGGTCAGACCTTAATGGTTAGTATAAGCTAGGGTCATGGTTATTTTAGTACAGGTGTGACGTCACGTCCGCCCTGCCCAGAATGTAAACACGGCAACGTCTGCGAGACAGTATGAATGTTGTCTCGTGTTTCTGATGCTGGTACGTTTTCTTTCTCTCTAATTTTTTGTATTCATGGTATAAATATGTGAGTATAAGTACCCTATTATGGAAAGGAAATGTTTTTATCCCTCTGTAGGTTGGCATATGCAGACTATCACTGTCACTAGTGAGCAGCATTAGACAGAACGTAGTTTCTTTCTAACCTCCTTTCTACCACCAGTGATCTTGCGGTTGTAACAGACCTAATCGTCTATAATAGCCTAGCACAGACATCTGAACTAAAATGATGTGGACAGATGGATGGGTGGTGAACATGGTGTCGTGTTTGGCGATTTTTAACTTTGGTTTTTCTCTTTGTCACATGATTTTCGTAATATCTGGAGGCTAGGTCAAATATTAATATTCTAACACCTATCAAGTGTAACCAACACTTAGCTTACAGGGTGAGGGATCCTCAGCAAGAAACTCATTCCTGTCCATGCACTAATGCCAGTGGCTCCATGAAACAACAACGGTCTGTTGTTCTGTGATGTTCACCAGCAGCTTGTATCTTCAACTTAGAAGTCTTTTATGTGAAGGGGCTGCCAACCACTGCCACGAACCAGAGGGTGGCATAGAGTTATTCTTGAACTGTAATTTTTAACAAGGACCCATCTTCCGTAAGATGCTATTGAACATTATAAACAGTTTAGTGTGGTGTGAGATAGACATTCAAAGTTCTGTTAGTTCTAGTGAATGGTAAACATTGATCTTCATCATGAAATGCACAAGACTTCAAACATGCGCAGCCAGATGGGGGAGGAGGCCGTACTCTAGATAAACAGGACATCCTTGACAGAAAAGTTGTGGTCGCCAGCAAGAGCAGTCAACCCTAACACTCAGTGCCAGTTACCTAGATCCAATATTCCACAGTTTGGCAGTGATGATACTTGCTGCTGCTAGGGACAAACCGGGAATCCATTTTGAGCAGAATATGCTTCCTTGGTTGGTTCACTTGGTCTTGCTGAAATTTGTGTTCTTTATATACTTACTAGTGTTGCACTGATAACATGAGGCTTTGTTATTTTACATTTTGTGGTTAGCATCCATCCTTTGCAGTTCTTAAGTGTCTACAGTATCTCTTGTATTGTGGTAGTTCATGTTATACTGTGTTAATTTGACTAGCATACGATTACTATCTAGTCTGGAAGCTTAAAAGTAGTGGGGAAGTCAGTCCAAGTTGCGCTTAGGAATGATTATGAATTCTGTAGTAATTTGAGTCCACTCCCCCCTGAAGATGTTCTTTGGAACTGCGTATACCGCCTAGACCATTGCGAGCCAACATCTTAACATGTAAATTTCTTCTTGTCTTTTTTGGTTGATTAAGGAAAACACTAACAAAGACACGTGACCCTAGCGTTATGTGACAATCAGTCAGCAGTCTTAGACACATTATTGGTTCTTTAACGCCACTATCTTTCGAAAATCCAAACTCTTCTTCTGAAATTTTATTTCGGATGTGTGTTTTTTCCCCTCTATGTAAGTAAATAAATAGGTGTAGTAAATATGTGCAAGTAAATGATTCGGCCCCCTAATGAGGCTGTGCTCAACTACAGGGGTCACAGTTAACAACGAAACACCAACAGGCAAAGGCAGACTTAGAAGACGGACGGACAGAGTCGCCGACAGCCCAAAACATCACCACATATCATTATACAAAGCGCAGAAGGAAGACCTATCTCAGCTACCTATGATCGATTACAGTTAAGACGCCTAGCTATACAAAGGCGATACTGACCAATGAAGAAATAAGTGAATGACAACTTTTTAGATTATGCGGCGCTTTGGGTGTGTGGCACTAGCACCAAGTATCAGTTTGATCTAGTAAACACAATCTAAGCAACCGCTGCCACATTTGCCAATTTTGATTGCGTTAAGTATACCGAAAAGAAAACTGAAACACTGAACATCTAATTGGAGAACGATGCTACAATATGTGTCAAAGATCCTGTCATACAAGATGTAACACATAAGCTGCATAATACTGGCTAGAATGAGCTCTGTGGACAATGTAGATCGAGGGAGACAACCTAAAGTCTTGCAATAAATACCCAATTAACAACAAGATGGGGCTTTTCAGGACTAGCTAAACCGGGTGGTAAACATGTGGAAACCTCTCCTGTACATCTAAAGGATACTACTAACAGTTTTGTACGTTGTTGAGGAACATTTGACCACACACTCCTGAAAATTACTTAGGATGGGTATAGCCTGAATATGTGAAATAATGGTACCCTGAAATATTCATAACTTGGACTGCTGAAAAGACTGAGAGACAGTGGAAGACGTAACTTGCTATAAGGAAGATTAGGTACTCAACAAATTAAAGTGTATAAAGCAGACATTGCCACCTTATAAATACCATTTTCTCACGGAGGTTTACATAGCGACACTAATTTAGTCAAGAAATGTAGCAATTGTGTGGTAACGTTTTATTGTTGCTCTAATTTTTTCCCCGTTTACACTGTGGAGGTCGGTATCAATGCAGCTGTTACTGTTCTTTGGAATATTAAGCGATAAAATCCCAAACTCTTTCATGGTGTAACATTTATTTCGGATCCAAAGAGTCTCTTTTTTAAGCATATATGAAGCATATGTTACTTGGAAGGCTCGATGCAGCACTAATATGGAATTTTTAATTATTTGTGCAGTGTTTGAGAGGTGCCATTTAGTACGGCCGGCAGCCGGTTTAAGTGTGGGCTGGTGAAATACCTTTGGTCAAAATATAAGTGGTCCTCATGTAGGATGCAATGCTTCGTCATTTTGAAGAACCACCCAGGCTATTGCCGGGGGCCGTATTATAGCCTAATGGTTACAGGCGGTTTCCTGGGCCTCTCCATGGGTGGTCTTCATCCGCATGGTGGCACTTCGTGTCACCGGGTGTGTATCGCTGTGTGTGATGTCCTGGTATTGTAAAAGTTACTTACTTATTAATACCTTTGGTAATATATCTACGTGTTTATAGCCAACTTATCGTGCCTGACTACTTCTATTCTACTTATACTTCTACTACAGAATTGTTAACATTTTCTGGTGGACCCTAAAAAGCCGTCTTGCTGCAGAAAAACCCCACTTCTCTACTTGTCGCTCGTTAACGCTGACAGCTAAAGTAAATTCATGTGCTACTTGAAGTCCGAAAAGGCTATAATGTACACAATGTCGCCGGCCGCTCACAAAACCAACTAAATACACGCGCAATATGCACTGCTCATAGCATCGAAGAAAACCCATCGAGGCGACCCTGTAACTTAGACTAGTTCTTGTGAAATGTCATCAAGCATAAATAAACCCCTATCACGATATTTTTGGGGTGAAAAACGTTAAAAAGTTCCCTGTTTGTTTAGACCTTAGTGAGTGGACCTAAACTTGTGGCAGCCCTACTCAAATTGAAGAGTGGACCTACAATTGTGATGACTCCTTTCAAACAGGAGTGGACCTTTATTTCTGACAACCCCATTCGAACCAAAGAGTGGACCTATAGTTGTGACTATCCCATTCAAACCGAAGAGTGGACCACCAGTTGTGACGACCCCATTCAAACTTAGAAATATACCTACAGTTGTGATGACTTCATTTAAACTGAAGAATGGAACTACATTTGTGACAACGTCATTCAGTCTCAAGAGATGACTTACAGTTGTGACGACCCCACTCAACCTTAGCCTACAGTTGTGACGACTCCATTCATTCTGAAGAGTGGACCTATTGTTGTGACGAACCCATTCAAACTGAAAAGTGGACCTGCATTCGTGTGTGTCGACCCTATTTAACTCAAGAGTGGACCTACGGTTATGATGACCCCATTCAAAAGGAAGAGTGGACCTACAGTCGCAACGATCCCATTCATGCTGAAGCCTGTAGAGTGGAGCACTGTCTGCTAGTTGTTTCTTTTTAATCATTATTATATGTAAAAAACTGTTGTTATAATCATAACAGCAAACACCAACTTATTCATTGACCATTCTCTGATAACATCAACACACTGATTTCAACTAATTATTATCATTATAATTTAACAACCAAAGCGACTGATTTGCTTAATTTATTGTATAAACTTTGTTTATACCAAATAAATACCATCAACTCTTTCCTTGTTATACTTCACATAGCTAGGTGAGTATGAACATTGGAAAGCAACACCTGAATAAGATATGACACCTAATGGGAGTTCAATTATTTTAACATTAGGGAAGTGTCCATAAAAGCAACATGCAGTCTAGAATTGTATCTTCATACAGTAAGTTTATGCGAATATGTAAACATCCCCACCCCCCTGTTTTCCAGTCTGCTGACGGCACCTAGACGGCTTTTTCAATTTCGCTTGCCGATCATAGACTGTTTGTCCATAGACTCTGTTTATCTCTACTAACGTAAGAAGGGAGGGGGGGGGGGGGGCAACTGTCTCGGTTTCACATCTGGATTGTATGGAAATTAAATTGTATAAAAAAGTCAGTTGGTGATCCAACGGTTCAATCAAAGATTGCAGAAACATGGAGATACAGCAGGAAAAAAAAAAAGACACCAACCACCAGAAGAGTCTAAAAAAAAAACCCCCAGCCCAACAGTCGCAGCAAGGCCAGTGGATTGGTATCGAGAGCGTCTTGCCAAGATTGCTCACATGGGGTGATATCTGGCGAATGACCCCGCTGCGGCTGAGCTTTGTCATAAGATCTGATTATGATGTATTACCCTCTAGCACAAACATGGTCGAGTGGTGTGCGACCACTGACCCGACATGTCCACGTTGCAGAGCTAAGCAGACGCTCGAGCACATATTGACCGCGTCTAGAAAAGCCCTAGACCAGGGACGATATTCTTGGCGCCAGAACAGAGTACTGAAAGAGTTATCAGATATTGGGGACCAAGGCAGAATGAGGGCCAACGCGAGGGCCAGTCCCATCATCACCCCCATGCGCTTAATCAAGGCAGGGCTAATCTCTAAAGGTAAAGTCAGCAAAGTCTCATACGTTCCATCAATACTTGACTGTGCGAGGGACAGGTTACTGACTGTCGACCTGCCTGGTTTCGAAAAGTACCCTAAGTCGATCCAAAAGACTGGCCTGAGAGCAAACATAGTTCTGCACTCTGTGGAAGAAAGCCAGCTCATGCCGATAGAGTCGCCGATGGAGGAACAAGACATATACAAGCTCGATAACTACGGTGAGCTCGTGGCCAGTCTGAGGAGAGACGAAGCGTACACAGTTACAATCTTCGTCGTCGAGGTAGACGTAAGAGGTCTCAGCTCCACTTTCACATAAAATGTGCTACATCAGTTGGGCATGAGAGGAAACGAGCGTAAACGGTTACTGAAACAACTGGGCGAAGCTGCTCAAAGAGCTCCGAACTAGCTCTGGACGCAACGGATGTGGGGAATGGGCATCGGAAGACTGGTCTGAGCCCTTAGTGTAGAGGAACTTTTCATCCCCAAAAGTCAAAGTGCATGACAAATATTTGCTAGTGTCTCCTTGCAAATTTCATCTGTCTTCTGAAGCAACCGTAAAACTTGTCACTTTTGTCGTGAAGGTAGCGGCCAATTTGCTACCGCAGCGACACACATATACATAAAATATCAATTCTCACAGTACCTGTTGCAAAGTCACCTTTTCGTCTTTTCCCTGTCCGATTGAATGCTGCAGGAGAACAGAGGTCTAGCGTCATCAACCAGGCCGGCCCACCCTCTGAAATTGTCTAGGATATCAGGCCAAAACAATTTGCGATGAGAGACCGTTCTATTGATGACCAGTAGCTTCTCCTGCTGCGATTGCTCCCATGTGGAGTTTTTCTTATTGTATTGTATTGTTTGGGGATTGAATTACCATCCACTAAAGACACTACTTATAAGAAACGGCCATAGACAAGAGCCGGAGATAATGCGTGTGTATAGAGTAACACTATAATTACATTAACATAATATGTGATTTTAAACTAGAGTGTTTTAAGAGGTCTGCCATAATTTTAAGATCTACACGTTCAAATTAAGATATTTTTACGTAAGACCAAACAACCTAGTATGGAATTTCATTATAAAAATAAATCTATGCACTGTTATAATCTATAATACTTCATCACTACCCCATCTGCGATTCAATAGCAGTGTGACACGCCAGATGCAACATAACTGTTTGGTTAGCACACAGACCGGAGTCTTGCGAACTGATATAATGGTAAGAGTGTCTGTTACCCTTCCTCTCACAGAACTGCAGACTTTACCAGGGAATGCAGTTTTAGTGTTAATGGTATCAATTTTAGTCTTATTATACGTTCGTCCAGTCTAATTCTAATAACTAATTTCTGTGTAAGCTAAATGCTTTTGCAGAAGAATAAAGCGAACACAATGGGCAGATACAACAGTGCAATATAAATGAATTACCACTCAGATTCTTACCTTACCTGTTAAAGAATCTCCTTACATAACATTCAAGCGCGTTTATTAATTCACATGTAAGTCAGTCTCTCTCGATTTGAATCGGTCGAACGGAGAAACAACTTAGCAACAGAGTGGCGAACATATCCCTAAATGGCTTCACACGCACATACAACTGACTGGAGATCCTATATCAAAATCTACCAAAAAGTAGAGATCCCAGTTCTTTGAAACGATGCTATTTGCTTGAGTGGACGCAAGGATGTGTGCCTTCAGAATTATTTATTACACACTCAAAATACGCCTACTAAGACAGGCCTAGGTTGTACAGCAAAGAGGAATTCTCCTACATTATGTAAACAAAACTACCAACCGATAAATTTGATGTTACTATTCTAATGACGTCACTGATTTTGAATTTCCGGTACAGAAATGGGAATTTTAACTTGACAATATTATTGACAATATGATTCATAAATGTCAACGAAAAGGATTCATTTGTTTGGCCTCAGTATGTGCTGATTTAACTTTGTAGCAACATGCACGAGGAAATACAGTTAAATTTGCAAGGCAATAAATTGTTTGTGAGATAAATGATAACTACAAGGATAAATGATTAACTACAAGGATAAATGATTCACTACAAAAGAAAGAAACATAATGCATTCTCAAAGAACGTCATGAAATGGGGAGACATGTGTACCCCATGGTATGAGCACTAGTGGAGAGTCCAGTTTCTCTCATAGCATTGAATTGCAACCCATGCATGGAATTGCACCTGTATCTGGACAGACATTATTACTAATGTTACATGGAAAAAGAAGAAGAAGAAGAAGAAGAAGAAGAAGAAGAAGAAGAAGAAGAAGAAGAAGAAGAAGAAGAAGAAGAAGAAGAAGAAGAAGAAGATAAAGAAGAAGAACAAGAATAAGAAGAATCTGTAACAGATTAGGATAAACGTTATTGAAACAAACACAAACAAATGTCTCTTAAAATAACGCAGTCAGAACGGGGGACTATTTTAGTTATAAAAAAGCTGATAGTTAAAAGTTTAACATAACAAAAGATTTATGCTCCCACTGTGATTGTACACCAAAGACACTGAATAATTTGTGATAAAATTGATAGTAATAAGATGCAAAAATAGTTCAAATAAATATTTCACAATCCCAGAAATAACATTTTTTTTTTGTAATCCTGAATAGTTAATAAAAAAATATTAAGGAAAACATAAAAAAGGCTATTTTTCAGATTATAAGTAAAATTAAAACAGGTGAAATATTCAGCATGATTTCTAAATTTAACATGAGGAGAAGGATCTGAAACAAAGATATCATGAAACAACTTGGGTCGGAAATAGTGCAAACTTCATGAAGAGACAATGTTGTTGTTGTTGTTGTTGTTGTTGTTGTTGTTATCGATTCAGCGGCGCATGAGCTTTCGCCCTTTGGTCCAATGCCGTGTAGTGGAATTTGCATGTTTTCCCAAGCTGTTCTTTTCCTCAGTACAAGGTGTTCCACTTGTCTGTTCTCGGAGGGAGTAGCATTCTTCTAGTCTCGCTGAGTTTTCTGCACTCAAAGAGATGGTGTTCAACAGTTTCTTAGGGGTAGTTACATGGCTGGCACTCTGGGGAGTGTTGTGGCTGTATTCTGTTTAGATATCCACTGAGGGGATTATGTTGTGTTCTAAGGCTGAAGATGGTGGCCTGGCTCCTACTTGTTAGATGGTTAATGCTGTCATTAGGATCAGGGTCAGCCAAATGTCTATAAACCTCTCTTCCAGTGTCTCCCATGGCCTATCTGTTCAACCAACTCTCTTTGTTTATAGCTCTTATAAGTATTTTTGCCGTCTGTAGGGTTCGACGCTGTAAGTGGTTGTTCTTGTGTTGCTCCTTTTTATGCCAATCGGTCAGCTCTGTCATTACCTGGTGTGCCGGAGTTGCCTGGAATCCACTGCATCACTATTATGATTCTGTATGAGGTAATAAGCTGATCAGCATCCAGGATTATCTTGGCTATGTCAGTTCTGCAGCTTTCATTGCCCTCCAGAGCTTGAAGGGGAGACATTGAATTTGTGAAGATGACAATATTTTGGGCCTTTAAAGGGTAAACATCCATTACAGTCTTCAGGTGGTATACTGCTGCTTCCAGTGCAATTATTTTGGCTTCATAATTTGAGCAGAGTTCCCCGCACGCATCAAAAATCTCTTTAACAGATCCATCGGAATAACCTATGTAGATTCCGTAGCCTGTTTTAATAGTAGCTTTAAATGCAGATCCATCAGTGTGAACATGTATCCATTCTTGGGGGTAAGAATCAACGGTCTTTAGTGATGAGTTCATAAGAGCAATTGGGTCGAACTGTTTGGTTTCCTCGCCTACCAATTTAATTTGAACTTCTGGAGCTTTAAAGCGAGCATGTGGTGGTAGGTTTCTTGCAACATTCTGAATCACGTCTTTCTAGGAGGTGGTATCTGACCTGAATTTCATGAACACAGTGTAAAACAGATTTGTGCTTTATTCTTTGTTTGAATTCCCAGTTTTCTACAAAGTGTCTTTTAGGATGGTTACGATTCTTTCTATCGCATCTTTCATAAATTTCTAAAGTGACCTTTTCTCTCCGCAACCAGAATTGTTCCATATTTGTATGGATTTCACATGCAGCAATTGGTGTAGGCCGCACAGCTCCGCAGATTAATCGGCGGGCATTATTTTCTACTCTGCCAAGAGTCTCTAGGTTAGTTTTGGAGTAGGTTGTAAGCAGTGAGTTGTTGTACTCTATCACAGAGCAACTACATCAATGATATAAGCTCCTCAGATTTTCCTTGTCTGATCCCCATGATGTACCTGCAAGTCTCAAAGAGACAATAGATAAATGTTTCGGTCTTGTGTCAAGACTGCCAATGGAGAGTGTACCACAAAGAGCCCTATGTCTAAGAAGAAAGTAGAGTTCTGAGGTCGGTAAGGATAGGTGGAATACATGAATCTTTAAAGCACAGACCAGGTGCCTCTTTAGAATCTGACTCTGAAAGGCAGAACATTTGCTAGAAAAAAGAAGAACATGAGGTGGCGTTGATGGTAAATCAGATGATCTGTTTTCTCGTAGTCTGAGCATTATGAATATGGCGGCTAAAAATGTTTTAGACCCATCCGCAGACTGTGGGAAATGTGGTTACTAACATAACGGCCTCTTTTATTTACATACAGGTATCCTGGTACTCATTTTAGCAGTGGAGAAATGGACGACAAGTTCAACATGAACTAACCGTTGCTAAGAGGAGGTTCCTAAAACATGGACCAACAGGCTCTCTGTGTGGGTCCCAGTGCTCTGTATGGAAGTGGGGGTGGGGGTGTGGAGAATAGCCTCTAACAAGTATTCTGTACAACTCAACTAAAATGGGGTGTTTCCTTTTAAATCGAAGTGCATCTGCCTGAGAGGTGTGCGACTAACAGTCTGTGTACAAATAATCCAGACCTGTAAAACGAATGTGTTCGCAAAACTTAAGTTCTACACCAAGACCAAAGTGCAGAAGTGTGTGTGAACAACCAGGACTTCCCACACATACACATATACTCTCATACACAGATACATACATAGATACATATATAGCATACACACATTAATACACACTCATGACCACACACATACACAAGTACAAAAAACCTTGCATCCACTTATATACGCGCTCACACAGCGCAACATTCTGAACAGGACCTACTACGCGATGATGATGAAAAGCCAGTGAAGGAAACCAAGTTTCACTGTTTACAAGACACTGGACTGATTCATTGTATAAATTCCACTAAATACACTCTAACACTTTCAACAGAACAGAACCCACGGAAACTACTAGCCCAAAAATAGAAACTCGAGAAATTTTGATTGAAACAAATATTGACTAAAACGCTGGCCAAATAGGACACCAAGGTGAAACTGCGGGGCCAGTTCAACAGCATTAGCTCACAATCCACATCTCCGTCGCTTTTATTTTAAGGGACATGTTAACCTTAATCAGAAATGAAACCAGTGGTCAGGTAAAGATTTGGGGAACTTAAGACTAAAAGTTCTTATAGCTGATGTTTGGTACCAATATATTGATTGAGTCATGGATACAAAGAATGTGCATATGATTAAAGAGCATTATAATTATAGTTAGACGACATACCGTTAATAACTGTGTGATATAGATGCGAAAAGCGCGTTTGTACATTAGTGAACATTTGGTGAGCATTGGTGAACATAGGTGAACATTGGTGAACACTGGTGAATATTGGTGAACATTGGTGCATTGCTGTTGAAAAGATAAATAGGGATTTAAAATGAAAAAGAAAGGAGAGGGAATGTTTAAAAAAAGGAAGAGGGGGGGGGGTGATAGCTAGGACAATGACTATTTGAAGAATACCTTTGTGATCCTCGTTTGCCTCAGAAAATAGATGTATTAAAACATATTACTAACCTGATTAGTAAGCTTCTCGTACTCGTGTGAGTTAAACCCTTCATATATATATATATATATATATATATATATAT